TTTACCCCCACCTGGCCTGCCCCCAAGCCTCTCCTCAAAGACAATCCACTGCAGATGGGTAGGCTTTCCTCACTGTATGTGCACAAACATTGAAAAATAATAGCTTACAACACTGGTGTGTATGCTTCATCCCATTTTCAGGCACATAGCTTCTAAATGTGTGTGTGTGTGTGTGTGTGTGTGTGTGTGTGTGTGTGCATGCCCCAATAACTAGGGCTTAAATTTGGGGCCTGGGCACTGTCCCTTAGCGTTTTTTGCTCAAGGCTGGCATTGTATGGCTGGAGACACAGCTCCACTTCCAGCTTTTTAATGGGTAGAGATATGAGTCTCATGGACTATTCTGCCTGGGCTGGCATCAAACATCAATTCTCAAATCTCAGCCTTCTGCGTAGCAAGGATGACAGGAGTCTGGCTAAAACTCTTGTCATATTTGAACTAAGGCCACAGCCATCTTACAACAGAAATATATCTACAAAGACACCTGCTGGCAATTATCTGTCCTTCCTCAGACTGACATCACCGTTGTCTTAAGTCATTGTGGCCAGACATTACCATTTCACAATATCCCATGTAAAATCCACCATAAAATTGCCTTAGAAAAAAAAAAAAAAACTCGGGCTGGGAAGGTGGCTCAGTGGTAGAGCCCTTGCCTCACATGCATGAGGCCCTGGGTTCGATGCCTCAGCACCATATAAGCAGAAAATGCTGGACGTGGCGCTGTTGCTTACATGGCAGAGTGCTAGCCTTGAGCTGAAGAGCTGACAGACAGCGCCCAGACCCAGTGTTCAAGCCCCATGACCAGCAAAAAACAAAAAACAAAACTCCCATAATCCGGGTGCTGGTGGCTCATGCCTATAATCTTAGCTACTCAGCATTTTTTGTTTTTGTTGGTCCACAGTGCTTGAACTCAGGGTGTAATCCTAGCTACTCAGGAGGCTGAGATCTGAAGATCATGGTTCAAAGCCAGCCCAGGCAGAAAAGTCCCTATTGGACTCTTATTTCCAATAAACTGCTCAAAAAAGCCAGAAGTGACGCTATGGCTCAGTTGTAGAGTGCTACCTTGAACACAAAGAGGCCCTGAGTTCAAGCCCTAGGATGCCAAAAAAAGCCCCCAAACCAAAAACAAAAACCTCCTGTGGCCAGGCACTGTGGCTCAGGCCTGTAATCCCATCTCTTTTGGAAGCAGAGTCACGAAGTTCAAGCTTGGAGGTCAGCCAGGGCAAAAAGTGAGTGAGAGACCCTATCTCAACCAGTTACTGGGCATAGTGCAACACACCTGTCATCCCAACTATGTAGGAAGCATACATACATAATTGGATTGTGGATTGAGGTCCAGGCTGGCTCGGACAAAAATGTAAGGCCCTATTCAAAACATAACTGAAGGGCTGGGAAGGTGGCTCAGTGGTAGAGTGCTTGCCTTGCATGTATGAGGCCCTGGGTTCGATTCCTCAGCACCACATAAGCAGAAAAAGCCGGAAGTGGCGTTGTGGCTCAAGTGGTAGAGTGCTTGCCATGAGCTGAGGGACAGTGCCCAGGCCCAGAGTTCAGGCTCCACAACCGACAAAATAATAATAATAATAACTGAAGCAAAATACACAAAAAACTAATACTGGAGGTGTGACTCCAGAATTGGTGTGCTTGCCTAGCCAATGGGACACCCTGAGCTCAAACTCCATTACTGCCAAAACAACAACAACTATATATATATATATATATATATACACATATATGCATTGATGTATATATTTGCATATATATATACACACACATATATCACTCTAGGTATAGTGGAACACATTTTTACTTTGCTTTCATTATTGTGCTTAAATAACCCTTAAGAGCTGTTGATCATGCTAGCCCGGTGGGTTGTCTTTGCTCACATCCCATTGGCCAAAACTCAGTCACGTGCCAAAACCAAACTGCAATGGAGACTGGGACATGGAGTTTTCTTGTGATTTTCTTGTTAATATCCTATAAGGCCTTTGCCAGCAAATCCTTCTTCCCAGCAGCTGATAGTTTTATTTGTTTAGCTGTTTGTTTTTGTAATTGTATTTTCTTTTTTTTTTGTTACGGGTGATTGAATCCAGGACATTGCACTTGCTAGATAATTACTTTGCCACTGAGCTACATCCCAGTCTTGTAGCTTTATTATTTATTTATTTTTGTCAGTCATGGGTCCTAAACTCTGGACCTGGGCGCTGTCCCTCAGCTCTTCAGCTCGAGGATAGTGCTTTACCACTTGAACCACAGTGCCACTTCCAGCCTTTTCTGTTTTTGTGGTGCTGAGGAATTGAACCCAGGGCCCCATGTATGTGGCATGCGAGGCAAGCACTCTACCACTGAGCCACCTTCCCAGCCCCTAGCTTTATTTATTTTATTTTATTATTTTATTTTTTTGTTGGTCGTGGGGCTTGAACTCTGGGCCTGGGCGCTGTCCCTCAGCTCTTCAGCTCAAGGCAAGCGCTCTACCACTTGAGCTACAGCACCACTTCCAGTTTTCTGGTGGTTTATTGGAGATAGGAGTCTCACGGTCTTTCCTGCCCGGGCTGGCTTTGAACCATGATCCTCATATCTCAGCCTCCTGAGTAGCTAGGATTACAGGTGTGAGCCACCAGCGCCTGGCTCCCTAGCTTTATTTTTAATCTGAATTCACTAACTCTTTTGTATTTTTAATATAATTAAAGGGAGAAATCCCAAAATAATAATACTTTGTGTGTGTACGTGTGTTGGTTCAGGGGCTTGGACTCAGAACCTCACATTTTGGCTTGACATTTTTGTTCAAAGTTAGTGCTGTATTGGTTCACTGACAATTTCACTTCCAGCTTTGGCTGGAACTAAGAGTCTCACAGAATTTTCTACCTGCGCTGGCTTTGAGCCTCTATCCTCAGATCTCAGCCTCCTGAGTAGCTAGGATTACAGGCATGAGATCCTGGTAGCTGGCAGAACTCCTATTTTAAACTACCTGATGTTTTGCTGAGCAGCACTAGTTAAGAGCACTTTGAAGCCGGGAACTGGTGGCTCACGCCTGTAATCCTAGCTACTCAGGAGGCTGAGATATGAGGATCATGGTTCAAAGCCAGCCCAGGTAGGAAAGTCCATGAGACTTTAATCTTCAATAAACCTCTCAGAAAACTGGAAGTGGTGCTGTGGCTCTAGTGGTAGAGTGCTTGCCTTGAGCTGAAGAGCTGAGGGGAAGTGCCCAAGCCCAGAGTTCAAGCCCCATAATTGACAAAAACAAATAACCAAACAACAGAAAAAGAGCACTTTAAAAACTAAGACTATGAGTATTAAAATTGTGTAATGAATAATACATAATAATTATAGCAGAATCTGGCAAGTAACAGACACTAAAGTATCCTTCAGTGGGTGGATAAATAACTCAGGATTCCAACAACATGGCTCCTACATTACCCCAAGGCAAAGAAAGAATTCTATGCGGGTCCCATCTTCCATTTAAACCAGCAAGGAAGTCAAGCTGTGGCTCAAGTGGTGGAGCACCAGATGAGCAAAAAAGCTAAGAGGCCCAGGCCCTGAGTTCAAATCCCAGTACCGGTACATTTATTAAAAAAAAAAAAAGCCAGATGCTGGTGGCTCATGACTATAATCTAGCTACTCAGGAGGCTGAGATCTGAGGATCACAGTTCAAAGCCAGCCAGGGTGGGAAAGTCTGTAAGACTCTTATCTCCAATAAACCACCAAAAACCGGAAGTGGCACTGTGGCTCAAGTGGTAAAGCGCTTGCCTTGAGCTGAAGAGCTGAGGGACAGCGCCCAGGCCCAGAGTTCAGGCCCCACAACCGACCAAAAAAAAAAAAAAAAAAGGGAAAAAAGTCAAACCCTCCCTTCTTTCCTACGTTCTCCCAAGTGATAAATATTTCAATCCTTGCTGGAAGCATCCTGAGCTCATTCTGGCCCTCCGCTTATCACCGGGCAGTTGTGAATGGAATCATGTTACAAACCACATTCATCTTTTTTATTTGACTCCTCGGAGACACAGCACCCTCCCCAATGGGAAGGCTCCAAACCTCTGGCATAAGCCGCCAGATCTATAATGTTTAGCTAGCTGCAATCCATCTCTGGCTTCATTTTACTTCCCTTCCTTTCATCCTGATGACTGCCATACATCTTGGTTTGCAGGTTGCAGCCCATTCTTGGAAGGAGAAAGGACAGTCAACCCCGTGAATGCGTCCGTGGATCCCCTGTGAAGCCGGGCCATCGAGAGTCCCTGAAGGATGTCTTCCTCTCAGCCTGCCCCACCGTCCACTCCATCCCACACAGCTCCTGATCTGGGGACCCGGGCTCCTTTTTAGGTCTAGGCCCTGGCTGCTCACATGGAATATCAGAAAATGTTTTCACTCCTGCAGCTTCTCCCACTCCAGCCAGGCCCTTGATATTATGTGCGTGCGTGCACGTGTGTGTGTGTGTGTGTACTGCTGGCTTTTTTTTTGTCGATCGTGGGGCTTGAACTCGGGGCCTGGGCGCTGTCCCTGAGCATTTTTGCTCAAGGCTAGCGCTCTATCATTTTAGCACAGGGCACCAGCAGTTTTCTGGTGTTTAATTGGAACAAAGATTCTCACGGACTTTCCTGTCCGGGCTGGCTTTGAACCGCGATCCTCAGACCTCAGCCAGGATTACAGGCGTGAGGCACCGGCGGCGTTGGGACTCGGGCTGGGTATGAATCTGGGAGTCGCTAAGTGTGCAAAGATCCACCCGGCCCAGCGTTACGCAATGCAGAGGTAACTGCACCGCGCCTTCGTTACCGCGTCGGCAGCCGCCCAAGGCTCCCGCTTCCCGCTGAATTTGAGCCCAACGGGTCGCCGTCCGCCCGCGAATCACTCCCAAGTCCACCTTGGAACAAACGCTAGGGGCGGAGACAGCGGGCGTGGAAAGGGTCCACAGCACGCGCTCTAGATCCGACGTCCGCCTCGGGCGCGCGCACGTACGCCGGAAGGGGCGGGACCAGCAGTGGCTTTATATATCCTGCGCAGCAGCCAGGCCGACCTCTACCGGCGGGATTGTGCGGCGAGATGGTAGGTTCTACTGTGGCGTCTTCTCCCTTTTTTTCCGGGTGGGCATGGCGGAATCCGCGGTGCATCGGCGCCATCAGAGCCTGTCCGAGGTCGAGAACGTGCTCTTTCGGCACGGGGGACATCGCTGGGGCCGTAGACAGGCCCATTTTCCGGGACCTGGCGAGGCCTGGGGAGGAGGGCCGTGGAGGGCCTCCCCTCGGTCTGCGAGGCCGCCCGAGAGTCCCTGGGGCGGGAGCAGGCCTGGAGGTCCGACGGGTCGTGCTTAGAACTCGATTTCCTCATTTTTCTCCTTGATCGAGATTTGGGTTATCAACAGGTGTGCTTTTTGTTACATGTGCTAACATGGGACGTTTGGGTTAGGCCCGCGGAGGCCTCGTTTCGAAATGTGCGGGGGGAACACGTCGCATAAGGCCTCGGGTACACAGAAACCACAAATGATGAACTTAATGACGGGCGGACAGAGACTCTGTGCTGAATGTCATGTTCTGATTTGGTTCTGTATGACGTAGCGCCCACCATGTGCCACCTGCCTCCTGCCCCCGCAGCTGGCCGGCCTCTGCTGCCCTTCACAACGTCTTTGTCTCCTAAATCTGTGGGGGCCAGATCTCATTGATTCAACCAGAAATCAATTGCTAAAGAACTAGTTTTTTCTTCTGATAAATAACTTAACATTTAGTTTTAACATATTGAGTACTCTTTAACATGAGCGAAGACAAAAAAGGTGACCATCAGACACTACCCGCAATTTGGGAGTCTGGTTGGGCCTCAGGACACAGCGGGTGAAGGGGGGGAGAGCTCTTGGGTGTGGGTGCTAATGCTGGTGGCTCTCTTTACAGTCTCACAGGAAGTTCTCCGCGCCCAGACACGGGTCTTTGGGCTTCTTGCCTCGCAAACGCAGCAGCCGTCACCGGGGGAAGGTGAAGAGCTTTCCTAAGGATGATGCTTCCAAGCCTGTCCACCTTACAGCCTTCCTGGGCTACAAGGCTGGCATGACGCACATCGTGCGCGAAGTGGATAGGCCAGGATCCAGTATGTACACCCCCATCACCCACGTAGGGGGTTTCAAATGTCAGCTTTCCAGTATGGTTGGTGGGAGACCCAAATCACATGTTGTCTTGCTGTGTTGTTCCGTAAGCTGCAGAAGCAGTTCGCTTTAGTAGGTTAGCGTTGCCAGGGAATGTCTGTCCTAACCAACCTCAGGTTTAGTGTAGTGTGGCTATTCTACCCTCAGGATATCAGAACTCATAGGCCTGGGGGCTGTTTGAGTTTTTGCTGAAGGGTCGCACTCAAACCTGGAGCTACAGGATCACTTCTGGTTTCTTGGGTAAATTAGAGGCAAGAGTCACGGACTTTCCTGCCAGGGCTGACTTCTAACTGATCCTCAGATCTCAGCCTCCTGAGCAGCTAGCAATGCAGGTGTGAGCCACCAACGTCCCTTTAGGTTGGCACTGTACACGCTTTCGAAGCCCCTTCACTGTGTCGTTAAAACAGCCCCTTGTGGGGATGTTGATTTGCAGAGGTGAATAAGAAGGAAGTTGTAGAAGCTGTGACCATTGTGGAAACTCCACCCATGGTGGTGGTTGGCATTGTTGGCTATGTGGAGACCCCTCGAGGCCTGCGGACATTCAAGACGATCTTCGCAGAGCATATCAGTGATGAGTGCAAAAGGCGCTTCTACAAGAACTGGTAAGGCTGAAACTTGGGCGAGGTCAGGCTGCAGAGCAGGGAAGACCCACAGTTGCAGGCCTTGGCTTTGGGGGAAGGGCTGTTTTGCTTTTTTAGCCGCTTTTTGAGCACTATGGTCTCACAATGGGCAGCCTTTTTCTATTCGCGCTGGTTGGCATTTCTTGAGCAAGGCTCCATCCAGCAGGCCGTGGCTGCTTGGAGCCAGAAAGTCCAGCATGAAACCAGCTATACTCCCATGGCTAGACTTGCCCCAAGGTAGAGCAAGCTTTCTGGAGCAAGAGTAGCAGTCTCAATGTTTGTGACTTAACAGTAACCTTGTTGGACCTCTGCTCAGCTCCGCTCGGCTTTGCCCGATGAGCTCCATCCAGGCTCCGCTTGCCGGTGGAAAAGGCTCCTTAGAAGCCGGCAATGAGCCCCCTCCCCACGTGGTGCCCAGTGCCTTCCTCTCACCCCGAGGGTGATGAAGGCCTGCACCCAGCTCCAACTCTACTCTGCTCCTGAAGGCACAAATCTAAGAAGAAGGCCTTCACCAAGTACTGTAAGAAATGGCAGGATGACATGGGCAAGAAACAGCTGGAGAAAGACTTCAACAGCATGAAGAAGTACTGCCAGGTCATCCGCATTATTGCCCACACCCAGGTAAGCGTGTTCCTCATCTCTTACCAGAGACACTGCAGGCCAGGAGGCGGCGTCTGAGCAGCTTCTTGGCTGATGATGTCTGCTCACCATGAATTAGCCAGCTTGAGTTGCTTGCCATTGCCAGGGTTCCTCCTGGAGTCACTTTTGACGCCCCTGTGGGTGTTCCTCATGCTGGCTGACAGCTCTTCTGGCCGGCAGAGGGCACTGTATTTTCATTTTTATCCAGGAACCTAGAGGGTCATTACTTGAGTATTCTGGAGTGTTAATGGGAAGCAGGTTGGTGGCTAGATGCCAGCTTGGTAGTCTTGCTTCCTGCTCAACTGCAGTTTTTTTTGTCCATCCTGGGCCTTGAGCTCTGGACCCAGGAACTGTCTGATCTCTTCAGCTCAAGGCTAGTGCTCTTAACATTTAAGCCATAGCACCATTTCAGGTTTTCTGGTGGTTTATTGGAGATAAATCTCATGGACTTTTCCTGCCCAGGCTAGGCTGGCTTTAAACTGAGATCCTCAGATCTCACCCTCCTGAGTAGGTAGGATTACAGGTGAGCCACCGGTGCCTGGCTTTTGACTGCACTTTTCTGATTAAAGGCTTAAAGTCATTGTTAGGAGCCACTTTGATTAGCATTGCCCCGGGAACACTGCCTACCTGCCATTAGTTGAAAGCACTGGAGTTTGAGGGTAATGACAGTCTGGATTAAGTGGCTCCTTAGCTGTTAGGTCCTTAATAGCAGATTTGTTAACGTCGTCCACTCCTCCCAAAGGGACACTTGGAGCCAGGCTAATCTTGAGTCTTTCCTAGATGCGCCTGCTTCCTCTGCGTCAGAAGAAGGCCCACCTGATGGAGATCCAGGTGAACGGGGGTACAGTGGCTGAGAAGCTAGACTGGGCCCGCGAGAGGCTGGAGCAGCAGGTCCCAGTGAACCAAGTGTTCGGGCAGGACGAGATGATTGATGTCATTGGGGTGACCAAGGGCAAGGGGTACAAAGGTGAGCCCTGGAGTGCTTTGTTCCTGTGGTTACTGGGGAGGGCAGTCCTCGGGCCCAGCTGTTCTGTGATGAGGCTTTGGAATGCGCGCTGGGCACAGCGCCCGACTGAGACTGAGGATTCATTCCCTGTTGCCTTCCTTCTGAGAACAGCAGTCTGTGTGGCTTAGGCTCTGGCACATAGAAGTTGAGGCCTGTCCAGAGCGGTGCCAGCTATGTATGGACCAGATTGAATAAATAAAATCAGGGGGGTGATATTTTGGAGTGTCCCCTCCTGTGTCCTCAGCTACAAGTTGTGTTGGACACAGGTCCCAAGGTGATTCCAGGCCCATGGTAACACATTTCTTTCTCTAGGGGTCACCAGCCGCTGGCACACCAAGAAATTGCCCCGCAAGACCCACCGAGGCCTTCGCAAGGTTGCATGTATTGGAGCCTGGCATCCTGCCCGTGTGGCTTTCTCTGTGGCCCGGGCTGGACAGAAAGGCTACCATCACCGCACTGAGATCAACAAGAAGGTGTGTGTACTGGGTTCCTCATCCGTGAGACAGTTGTGATTCTGCCATTGGAAGTGTGTAAGGGTGTTCCTTCTTAAAGATGGCTCCTGTGACGCTTTGTTCTCTTAGGAAAGCTGTGCGTTAGCCTGATCTAGCCAGGGAGGCTTTGATTCTGGGGGAAACCCAGGATCATTGAGATAGTGAGCAGCCCCTTTGTCCAGGGCGTTAGCCGCCCTTAGTGTCATTCACCCACTCCAGCAGTCTGGCAGTTGGATAATGGCCAACCCTTTGCAGCTAGAATCCCCTCTAGAATACTAAGGTTCTCCCACTTCACTGGAGCTGAGGCCAGCTTCTGAGTGGGGGGATTTAAGTGTTGCATTCCCGCCAGTCTCACCCTGTGGCCGTCCTTGAGCCCTCCTGTCTGTCCCCCGTGTTAAGTCTCACACCATTGTTTAGATCTACAAGATTGGCCAGGGTTACCTGATCAAGGACGGCAAACTAATCAAGAACAACGCCTCCACTGACTACGACCTGTCGGACAAGAGCATCAACCCGCTGGTGAGTGCTGGGCCCTGGCCCTGAGAACAACCCTGGGCTGTTGGCTGCAGCCCCCCTGAATCTGAAGTGGAGGCCCTTTGCTCTGGATGCTTTGCTTGACCAGTGACTATTTCCCTAGGGTGGCTTTGTCCATTATGGTGAAGTGACCAATGACTTCGTTATGCTGAAAGGCTGTGTGGTGGGAACAAAGAAGCGAGTGCTCACCCTCCGCAAGGTGAGGCTGGGGCCCCTGAGGAGCACAGGTCCGCGCCTGTGCGGGCCATCAATGGATCTCACATGGACTGTGAGGTCCTGAGGTGTCTAGTCTGTCCTGGGCTGGCTGTTTGCCTCCTCCTGGGCCTCCTGCAATGCACAGGCCTGAAACTCTGGTAAATCCTAACTGGCTGTCTCTTGGCCTGTAGTCCTTGCTGGTACAGACTAAACGGCGGGCCCTGGAGAAGATTGACCTCAAGTTTATCGACACTACCTCCAAGTTTGGTCATGGCCGCTTCCAGACCATGGAGGAGAAGAAAGCATTTATGGTGAGCCCTTCCCACTTGATCCAGAAGTGTCCCACCACCCTCTCCCTGCCCTGCCCTCCCCTTCCGGCAGCTTGCACCGGCCCCCCTTAGTGTGAGTAGCCCATGTTGTCTCCATCCTTCTAACTTCTCTCCGCTTGTCTCTGCAGGGACCACTTAAGAAAGACCGCATTGCCAAGGAGGAGGGTGCATAAAGCCAAAACATTGCCCAGCTGGTGGCAGGTCTCAATAAACTGTTCCCAATGTCATTGGCCTCTGCTGTTTGTTCCAGGGCTGGGAGATGGTAGACTGTATATAGGCTGTCTGCAGGCTCTGCCCCTTACCCTGGCCTACTCAGTACAGACAGGTAATGGGCTGCCCCTGAGCTGCTGAAAGTCTTCCTGTAGACTGGCCTGGAAGTGTTTGTACAGCCTGAGGTCCAGGGGGCTGTGGCAAGGACCTGGTGTTCCCTGTTCTTGGCAACCAGAATGCACACGGATCGAGTGCCTGCCCTTAAGCTTAATCCACCCAGCTTCCAGTCAGGGCTTGTTTCTGTCCTTACCATGAATTAGCTCATACCACTCCAAGTGCTTCTTGGGCTCCACCAGCCAAGCACATTCTCAAGAGTAGGGTACTTGACTGCAATGCGCCATGTCACCTGCTGGGGGCAGCAGATGCGTAGCTCAGCTTGAGGTCTAGAGAAGTAAAGAGGATGGGGTGGTGCTTGGGTCTTAATGTCCCTATTGGGGATTTTGTGCAGTGGGGTTTAAGCTAATGTTGGTCCAGAGCAGCAGCAGTGGACACGGTGCCTAATCTCTCCTTAAGCCTTGCTATGAGCAGGGAGCAACTTTCTCCCCCTTTTCCCCTTCACTTTTCTGGCCTATGGGCTTTCTCTCCAGGATCAACCTGGGGTGCCTAGTAGGTAATGGTCTGGAGATGGGATGACATAAGCCAGCCTTAGACACTTCCATAGCCTGATGCAGTCGTGGGGCCTGAACTCGGCCTGGGTGCTGTCCCTCAGCTCTTCAGCTCAAGGCTGGCTAGCACTGCCACTTGAGCCACAGTGCCACTTGCAGCTTTCTCTGCTTATGTGATGCTGAAGAATTGAATCCAGGGCCTCAAGCATGCAAAGCAAGCACTATAACACTGAGCTACCTTCCCAGCTGTCTGATGCCTTTCTGTGACCAGCTCTTGTTATTTTGGGAGGCAGATGGCAAGCAAGACAGTTCTTGGCTAGGTTATGACCAATGGAGTGTGGGGAGTGCAAAGCCTCTCCCCACCCCCCTGTTCAACTGCAGGGTCTCCTGGCATCCAGTGGTGTTGGAGAGATCTGTACCTGAGCATGCCCCAAGGTTCTCTGTGCACTAGGGGTGTATGTGGAAAGATAATTCTAACCCAAGTAGGGACAGGGAGTCCCCGGCCCCTGAAGGTGGCATAGAACTGGGGTTATGCTCTCGGGCTTGCCCCAAAATGGCTGGGTGCCGCTGGACTCTTAACTCACCCACAGCCGGGTGTTCCCCCAACTCTGCTGCCTTCCCTGCCAGTCTGGCGTATAAGCCCTGGTCCCCTTGCTGGTCCAGCCTTTCAGCCCCCTAGGAGCCCAGGACAGGGCCCAGCTGTGTCTCAGCCACAGAAGCAGAAGCACATCTAGGATCTTCCAAGATGGAGATCATGGGCACAGTACCTTGAAGTGGGCAGGTATGACTGACTGGTGGGTACTGATGTGATGGCTGGAGTTTTTGGGGGCCCCATGTTATTGTATATGAGCAGACTAAGGGCACCCCTGTGTCCCTTTGCCATTCCTGGCTTAGTAGAGTTCTGGGGTACTAGCCCTGAGATTCCCCAGGAATCAGTGGGATCCGGGAGAGCTGGGTAGATGGCCAGCCCCACCGTCCTGGGCCCCTGAGCCCCTAGGCCTTAGGTCAGCAGCCTCATGTGACTATGGAGAAGTGGCCAGTAGTGGCCACTCCCCATGCCTGCCCCACACACCCAGGAAAGCTGCTAAAGATAGCCCAGGCGCCCACTTCCTGTCCTCAGCCACCCTTCCTGGCGTCAGCGGGCCCCTCTGGCATGAAAGATGTCTGCCACCCTGCCAGCCCTCAGCCTGCTCATCCACCCCGGGCAGCGTGCAGCCATTTCACCCCATACATGCCGGGACCTAGCTGTTGGCACAGCTGGCAATTTCCCACCATGGGGCCTCCCACTGAGAGGCCAAGCCGACATCCATCCATTCTGCCTGAGCTGACTTGAAAGGTATCCTTAAGTCTCAACCTCCTGAGCAGCTAGGATTACAGGTGTGATAGACTGATGGCTGACAAAACTAGAGATGAATGAAGTCTTCAATAAAGTCTTTAATAAAGTGTTTGGAAGCAGAAATGCCTGATTTCAGTGGTGTGTGTGTGTGTGTGTGTGTGTGTGTGTGTGTGTGTGTGTTTGAGGGGCTTGATCTCAGCGTCTGGGCCCTGAGCTTTATTTGCTCAAGGCCACAACTCATTTGCCACATTTTGGTGGTTAAGAGAAGGGTCGCATGGACTTTTGCCCAGGCTGGTTTGGAACTGCAATCCTCACATCTCAGCCTCCTGAGTAGCTAGGATTGTAGGTGTCAGCCACTGGTGTCTAGCTCATACTTTAGAGTTTTAAGATTTGGGGATATTTGCATATACTTTACTGGGTAAATATCCTTTGGGAGAAGATGTGTTTCTATGCCCCAGATAGAACAACTGAGGCCCAGAGAGGGCAACTGACCTGCCCAGGTCCAGCATCTCAGACCCAAACCTTGGTTTCATTCATGAAGCCAGAGGCAGTTGTCAATCTAAGGGCAAGCCCCACCCACTCTGGAGATAGAAATTACAGCCAATTTGAACCACTGCTGCCTGCCCTATAGGGTGTGGCCTTGGCCCTCCACTGGGCCCCAGGGCCCAGCCGAACCCTGCACATCGCCGCTGCTCAGCCGGACATTGGGAGGGAGAAGGCTAGAAGGATGGATGCAATGCCTTCTGGGTGTCCTGGTGACCATACCTGGGTGAGTTCCTTTTGCAAGGACGGTCACGTTAATCTCTGAAGACATCAATAGCACAAAGCTGGGAACCATCCAAAATAACATGTGAGCTAAGTGCTGGAGGACAGCGTGCTCTCTGTGAGTTCCGTCCGTCCTGGCAGACCCAGGAGCTGGAGCAGTGCCCGCGGGTGGCGAGGCCTGCCTGTTTTCCTCGCTGTGTGTGAACTATTTTATCATCCATGTAAAGCATGCAAATGGGCCAGAAGCGTGATGGCCCGCTTCCTGCACAATGCCCTCCTTGGAGCAGACCTGAGTAGGAACACGGGATGTATAGGAGTGTACAGGAGACCCGCAAGGAGAGCTGGGAGAGTTCCCCCTCCCAAACCCCCTCCCCCCACTATGGGACCCACCATGGGACCCTGTTCTCCAACCTGGACAGGACAGGAACAGATAGGAAGACCCATCTGTTGGCTCAAGCATGCGCTGTGTGCCAGACACAGGATGATGGCCCACTCGTCACCTAGGGGCAGCAGATGCCAGGGTGCGCCCACTCCACTGGCTTGGGGCTCCAGGCTTCCGGAGGACAGGAGGCTGGCGCGGCAGCGCCCCCTGCAGGCTCCTCCCTGCCTCCCCCTTTCCCTCTGCATCAGAAGCCCCCTTCCTCTTCCGGCCTTGGCATTCGTGTCCCCTCTCCGATACCCCACTGCTCAGGGACCCCCGATGGCAGCCTCTGGTTCTCTGGTGCCCTCATCTGTTCCTGCTGCTTGTGTTCCCCTGCTCCTAGCACTGGGTACATGGTCGGCACTGGAGCAGCATTCAGGACCCATCCGTGGCAGGTGTGAGAACCAGTGCGGTGTCTCCCCCACAGCAGCAGCCCTCCCTTTCTTATTTCTAGGCTGGTCTCACCACCTCTATTCGGGACCCCACACCTCTTCTCCGCAGCCAGGGCGATTCTGTTAACACCAAGTCAAATGGCACCCCTCCCCTGTCCCAGGTCCTCCACAGCTCCCTCCTGCTGGACGCAGACCGCATTCCGTTCCTGATCTTCTCACCTCCACAGTTGTCCTGTTTCCTCTGTTCCTCAAGCATGGCTACTGCCCCAGGGCCTTTGCACTGGCCCTGCCTTCTTCCTTGTCTGTCTGTCTATCCCCCAGCAAACTGCAGGGAAGTGCAGTCCCCCACTGCAGCCTATCCCCACCCCCCTGCCCCTGCCTGCCCCACCCCATTCGATCCCACCAGCACCCTGCACCTGGCCCCATCCTGTGCCCTGGGGGCATTTGTGTGCTCACTGCTCCCCTCCCCTCCAGGCTTCCTGGGAAGGGAGAAGGGATGTGGTCTGCCGAGAGGCAGAACTCCAAGGGGGCTGTGACTTCCTCAGAGCAGATTTAGGAAAAGTTGAAGTGAAAACTTCTACGCAGCTGAGTGTTCCTGCGGCTGGTCCACGGGGCCTGTGTGTGTGTGTGTGTGGGGGTGATCTCTGGTCTGTGCCCCCCCCCATACTCCCCAGAGCAGAGGGCTCATTGCTTCTGTCCTTCCCCTCCTCAGGATGCGGCTTAGAAAGACAAAAGTCTAAGAAATGGGGAGAAGACAGGACCCCCCATGTTCCCGGGTGGTGAGTGCAGGCGAAGGAGCCTCTATGTCACCACTTACAACTGGGACTGAGCCCCACACTCACACCTACAGAGGCAGAGACACCCAGAGCTGCACACACAGCCAGAGGCTGGGAGAGGCCGCCCGGGGCCGCCGCAGGGACCCGGCAGAGGGCAGAACTGCAAGAGAGCAGCTGGGCTGGGAAAGTGGGGTAGAGTGCTAGCCTTGAGCAAAAGCAGCTCAGGGACAGCGCCCAGGCCCTGAGTTCAAGCCCCAGGACTGAGAGACAGAGAGAGACAGACACCGAGACACAGAGAGAGCGAGAGCGCGCAGAGCTGCGTGGAGGTGACCTTGTTGGCCCACCATCCTACCCCCTATGTTTCTCAGCTCTGCCATTCTGTGGTCAGGAAGTCTAGGACGGGAGGACTAGAATCTGCCAGGGACTGATTCAGGTTCTTCTTTTTATCCAGTCCTGGGGCTTGAACTCTGGGCCTGGGCACTGTCCCTGAGCTCCTTTTGTTCAAGGCTGGTGCTCTACCTTTTGAGCCACAGCTTCACTTCCGGCTTTTTCTGTGACTTATTGGAGATCAGACTCCCAAGGACTTTCCTGCCCAGACTGGCTTTGAACCACGATTCTCAGATTTCAGCCTCCTAAGCAGCTAGGATTACCAGGTGTGAGTC